GGGAGCCCGATGTGGGACTCGATCCCAGGACTCTGGGATCATGACCTGAGCCGAAGGCAGACGCTTAACCATCTGAGCCACCCAGGCGCCCATATATTCTGAATATTAACCCCGTATCAGATACGGGATTTGCAAATATTTTCTCCCAATTCCAAGGTTGTCTTTTCCCTTTCCCAGTAATGTCCTTTGATGCACAAAGTTCCTAATTTTGATAAAGTCCAATTTATTTTTTCTTTTGTTCATCCTGCTTTTGGTGTCATACCTAATGAACCATTAGCAAACCTTGGATCCTGAAGATTTTCCCCCATGTTTTCTTCTAGGAAAGTTTTGTATTTTTAGCTCTTATATTTAGGTCTTTGATGCATTCTGAGTTAATTTTTATGTAGGGTATAATGTAGGTGTCTAATACAGTCTTTTGCATGCGAATATCCAACTTTCCCAGTACCATTTGTTGAAATGACTGTCCTTTCCGTATTGAATGGTCTTCCCTATTGAATGACCTTTCCCTATTGACTGTCCTTTCCCTATTGAATGGTCCTTTCCCTCTTGAATTGTTGAAAATCATTTGACCATACCTGTGAGAGTTTATTTCGGCACTATTCTATTATATTGGTTTATATGTCTGTCATTATGCCATTGCCATACTGTTTTGATTACTATAGCTTGTAGTAAGTTCTGAAATCAGAAAGTGTGAATCCTCTGACTTAGTTCTCTTTCAAGATTGTTTTGGCTTTTTGGGACCCCTTGAGAGTCCATATGAATTTTAGAATGGATTTTTCTGTTTGTGCAAAAAACACCATTGAGATTTTGATACGGATTGTACTGAATCTGTAAATAATTTTGGGGAGTGTTGCCATCCTAACAATATTAAGTCTCCCAAGCCATGAGCATAGGATGTCTTTCCATTTATTTAAGTCGTTAATTTTTATTTAAATCTTTAATTTTTTTCAGTAGTGTTCTCTAGTTTTCATCGTACAAGTCTTTGGCTCCTTGGTCAGATGTATCCTAAGTACTTTATTCTTTTTGGTGCTGTTGTAAATGAGATTGTTTTCTTAATTTCCTGTTCAGGTTGTACATTGCTAGTATATATAGAAATGCAACTGATATTTGTCTGTTGATTTACAAAATCGAAGTCCTGGAACTTTGCTGAATTTGTTAGTTATTCTAACAGTTTTTTTCATGGACTCTAAACATTTCTGCATATAAAATCGTATCATCTGTGAGCAGAGACAGTTTTACTTCTATTCCAATTTGGATGTCTTTTATTTCTTCTTGCCTAATTGCTCTGGCTAGAACTTTGAGTATCATGTTGGATAGAAGTTGTGAAAGCAGTCATCCTTGTTTTGTTCCTTATCACGGAAAAGCTTTCAGTCTTTCACCATTGAGTGTGACATTCACTGTGGGGTTTTCAAATATGGCCTTTATCATGTTGAGGAAGTTTCCTTCTATTCCTAGTTTGTTGAGTGTTTTTATCATATCACTCTAATATCAAAGAGAGTTGAGTTTTGTCAAATGCTTTTTCTTCATCAATCGAGATGGTCATGTGATCCCCCCCATCCTATTATTGTATTGCGTTAATTAGTTTTTGTATGTTGAACCATTTTTGCATTGCGGGAGTAAATTCCCCCTGGTCCTTGGTCCTTGCTGGATTCAGTTTGTTAGTATTTTGTTGAGGATTTTTGCTTCTGTGTTCATGGGGGTTATGAGTTTGTACTTTTCTTGTAGTTTGTATGGCTTTGGAATCAGGGTAATTCTGAACTCATAAAATGAGTTAGGAAGTATTCCCTCCTCTTCAATTTTTTGGGAGAGTTTGAAAAGAATTGGTATTATTTGTTCTTTAAATGTTTGGTAGAATTAACCAGTAAAACTGTCTGGCTCTGGGCTTTTCTTTGTTGGGAGGGTTTTGATTACTTACTCAGTTTCCTTACTATTTATAGATGTATTCACATTTTTTATTTCTTCATGAGTCAGTTTAGGTACATTGTGTATTTCTAGGAATTTGCCCATTTCATCTAGATTTTCTAGTTTGTTGGTATATTGATTGCTACTTTAATTGGGTTTAATCTTCACATTTCTGGCTTCAGAAAGCTCTTGGCCGTAAACTCATTTCTAAAAAATGTGCAGTCGGAAATCACATGGCTTCTGTCTTGGAATTGAGAGTTCACTGGCCTTTGGGGTTTCCTTTCATTCTTCTTAAGGGAGGGTTATTGTGAAGCCACATTCTTGCTCCATTGGAAGCCTTTTCCTTTCCTGGTGCATCTTTCCTATCCAGGAGCTCCTGATT